GCTCGCCCTGCACGCTGGTGACCGTGCGGTTGCTGGTCCCGGCACACGCGTCCCCAGAGATCACCTGGCCCGACGACCTGAAGGGGCAGAGTTCAAAGGGGTGATGGATTCTACCTGCTGGGGAGTAATTAGGGTTGAGTCTGTGATTGCAGGAGGCTGGGCAATCACAGAATTCACAGAATGACCAGGTTGGAAGAGACCTCAAAGATCATCGAGTCCAACCCAGCCCCAGCACCTCAACTCACCCCTGGCACCCAGTGCCACATCCAGGCTTTGTTAAACACCCCCAGGGACGGTGACTCCACCACCTCCCCGGGCAGCCATTCCAGAACTTTAGCACCCTTTCCATGACAAACTTTTTCCTGATATCCAACCTATATTTCCCTTGATGTAGCTTGAGACTGTGACCTCTGGTTCTGTCAGTGCTGCCTGGAGACAGAGCCCAGCCACATTTGACTACAACTGACCTCCCACCAACTACAACCCTTCAGGAAGTTGTAGAGTGATGAGGGCAGCCCTGAGTCTCCTTTTCTCCAGGCTGAGCACCCCCAGCTCCCTCAGTTGTTCCTCACAGGGTTTGTGTTCCCAGCCCCTCAACAGCCTCACTGCCTCCTCTGGACATGCTCAATGTCTCCATGTCTTTCCTAAACTGAGGGCCCAGAGCTGGACACAGCACTCCAGGTGTGCTCTCACCAGTGCTGACTAAAGGGGCAGAATGAGCTCCCTGCTCCTGCTGCCACACCATTCCTGATCCAGGCCAGGAGCCATTGGCCTTCTTGGCCACCAGGGCACTCTGCTGGCTCATGTTCAGCCTGCTGTCCATCAGCACCCCCAGGTTCCTTTCTAGGCACTGTCCAGCCACAGCATCCCCAGCCTATACCTTTATTCTACTATCCTATATTATGTGGCTTTTCTCTTCCCAGAGAAAAGCAAGGCACAATTTTTCCCAAGGATTTTCTGGGAATGTCAGAGAGAAGCCTCAGAGAAGAGAAAAACAATTTTTATATCTATTCTCTGCTCCTGTTGTTTTGCACCTGTGGAATGTGTTAGGATATTGTTTACCTGCAGGAATTTAGTAATTGGGTTCTGCTGAGGATTGTTTTGTTTCCTTGGCCAATCACACAAATCCATTGCCTGACTGTTGAGAGACAGTCACAAGTTTTCTTTAGTATTCTTTAGCATTTTTTGTACTATAGAAAATACATAATACAGTATCATAAAGAGAGTGTTCAGCATTCCAAAGCCTTGGAGTCAGATGTCAATCATTCCTGTGACAGGGGCACCCTGATATTTCTATAATACTATATTATACTATAATACTCTATTATCTATAATATTATATTATCCTATTAAAAAAACCCCATCTGTGGAGACAGATAGGCATGCCAGCCCTCCTCCTTGGAGAGCTATCCCTTGAATGGGCTGTGATAAAATCTTCTCAAACTCTCTTGGACTGAGAAATCCTCCTTGGTCATGGTGAATTCCCAGCACGCTTTGGAACCCCATGTAGATTTGTTGGGATTGATTGGTTTTTCCCACCCCTGCTTTTCCCCATAAAACCCCAGTTTCTAGCCTGTTCGGCAGGGAGCTGCTGTCCCTGGCCTCCTTTGCAGGGTGCAGGAATAAAGGAACTCTGTGGAACAATCTCATGGTGCTCCTGTCTCTTTGTCCCTGTGTTGGCCTGGGGACACCTCACAAGGCAGAGCTGAAATCACTGAGAGCTGAAATCACTGCTCAGAGCTGAAATCACTGCTAAGAGCTGAAATCCCTGCTCAGAGCTGAAATCCCTGCTCAGAGCTGAGCTGGCTGCCCCTTTCTGGGGTCACCCTGCAGCTGAAGGACTGCCTGAGACCCCTAGAAAGTTGTCTCTTGGGGGACCTCTCTCTGGGAAGGTTGTGGTGTCCAGGTTGAGCCATCAGACCCCCACTGCCCTTGCAGACAGTCTGATACAGCTTTGACCTAACTGGTCCTTGAATCCAAAACGCCGTCACCAGTGACCAATTATAAAATCACCCTTTGGTAAAGAAATCTCCATAACACATTCCACATGTGCACAATGACAGGTGCAACAAGTGGAGATAAGAATTGTTTCTCATTGTTTTCTCTGAGCTTTCTCCCAGCTTCCCAGGAAAATCCTGGGAGAGCTGTCTCTCTCTGTTCAGAGGATATGTGGTTACCACAGGTGATGCCTTGTCAAGGCTGAACAGAGCCTAGAACAGAGGTTGGACAGAGCTAAAGAATAAAGTAGGGATTTATTAGGAGGCCTCAATGGATACACCTTGGGCAGCACAAGAGCCCAGCAATTTACATTTTGTCTGAGCAAAGTAGCCTTATAAATATACCACTACTATGGTTGAATTGTGCCTAAAGACAAAAAAGCTTTTTTTCTCTATCGCAGCTTTTTAGATACCCAAGGCACTTAGTATAAGTTTCTACTAAAAGCTAAAACCTATATTCTAAATCTATATTTCTATTTCACTTTGTAGCTTTATATATCTCAGTTTCTCCAGGGGTTTCAGTTCAATCCTTGTGCTTAGATTTCCCTCCAGGCCTGTGCCCTGAGGGGTTTGTACCACCACCAGCCAGGGCTACAGCCCAGGTGAACCAAAATGGCCACAAAATGCATGACAGGTCAGGGGGTCTCTCACTTTTATAAGTTTTGGTCCGTTTGCATATTGGAGCTAATTGTCCAATTACAGATTTAACCCATGAAGTCCCATCCTGCTTGTTTTTCTGTCTTTAGTTCATGTTGTTTGTGCTCTTGGGCTGACGTTTGGATCATTTGTCCTTGGTGCCCAGCTGGAACAGGAATTGTTTTGTCTCCCTGTTCTGTGCACAGAGCTCACCATCCTATAATATGAAGCCCAGACCCACACACTAAAGCAGCATAGAATGTGAAAAATAGAAAAACTAAACCTGAGACTCTTATCTCAGGTTTTGGAGGATGAGACCAGGAGGATGAGACCAGAGGCACTGAGGAACCACAGGGCTGTCCCCAGGCTAGCACAGCTGGGTCCCACACTGAGGAAAGGCCCTGGAGTGTCCCCGTCCCTCTGGCCACAATGGGACCAGCAGGAGCTTTGTCCCACAGGGCAGTGCCCAGCCTGCAAAGGCAGCCAAGGATCAGGGTCTGTGCCTGACTCAGAGCATCCTGCCCTGGTTTTCTGAGTTCCCTCTGCTCTCCTCCTGTGCCTCTCTGCTTCCACAGAAGGGCTGGTGAGTGCTGGCATCCAGCACAGGGCAGAGAGGTCTCAGCCTCTGTGCCAGGAGGGAAACCAAGGCAGGTGAGCTGAGGCTGGATGGGGAAAGGAGACCTGTGCCACAGCAAGTGGGTAACTCTGAACTGCTATAGGAATGAGCCCCATGTTGATGGAGTGACAAAACTGTCCTTTGTCCCCTTAAAAAGGAAAGAAACCCAGAAGTTTCTCTCCTCAATTAGGTGAAAAAGCCACCTCACAGGCCTGGGGGACTTCACCTCAAACTGAAGGATAGCCAATTGCACAGAAGCCAAAAAGTCCCACCTGGGCAATTTATTAGAAAAAAGAAGAGAACAAAGAAACAAATCACTTTTGTGGGGTGCTTTAGCAGGAGCAAGAACGTCTTGTACTTGGCTTGTTTTTTCTCTGTTTGTTATTTTGCCTTTTATTAAACCATTTTGTTTCCAACACTACCACAGAAGCCATCCTGCTGATTTTAGGCCTCCAAAGGTAGCTGAGCTATCTTGGGTGAGTAACTGACCTCCAAGAGCTCATGAGACCTGGCTCAAGGAGGCTCCTCTTACTCCCTATCATCCTGTCCTAACCTTGGAGCCCTACTCCAGACTGGCAGCCACAGGTACAATCTGTTCCATGCTCCTTTCTGGTCCTCAAACTCCTCACAGAGCCCCACGTTTCCCACTGAAGAGGCTGTGATTTACACAGACACTCTGCTGTTTGGGGCTGTGCCCCCATGGGAGCTCCCAGCTCTCAGAACAGCTGCAAAACCTCTTCAAAGCTCCTGATCCTTAACAGTGCTGGATTCTGCACCTGAGACACAGCAGCCCTGGCTGTGTGTACACAGCAGGGAACAGAGAGCAGCTGTGGGAAGGGACCTGGGCATCCTGGTCAATGTACATGAATCAGCAGTGCCCTGGCAGCCAGGAGGGACATCCATGGCCTGGACACACCAGGCACAGCATGGCCAGCTGGGCAGAGGGGATTGTCCTGCCCTGCTCTGCACTGGCGTAGCCTCACCTCAAGCCCTCAGGGCAGTTTTGAGCACCACAATATAAAAAATACATTAAGGCACTGGAGAGCATCCTAAGGAGGGCCATAACAATGGTGAAGGGTCTGGAGGAGAAGCCTCATGAGGGGCAGCTGAGGGCACTTGGTTTGTTCAGCCTAGAGGGGAGACCTCACTGGGGTCTTCAACATCCTCATGAGGGGCAGCAGAGGGACAGGCACTGATCTCTTCCCTCTCATGACAAGTGACAGGACTCACAAGAATGGCTGGAGCTGAGCTGGGAGATGTTAAGGTTGGATGTCAGGAAAAGGTTCTTCCCCAGAGGGTGCTGGGGCACTGAACAGGAACAACTGGGAAATGGGCACAGCTCCAAGCCTGTCCGAGTCCAAGAAGTGTTTGGAAAAGCACAGGGTGGGATTGTTGGCGTGTCTGTGCAGGGTCAGGAATTGGATGTGATGATCCTGGTGCGTCCCTTCCAACCCAGCATATTCTGTGATTTTATGACCCTGAGTCTTTGCTGCAGGAGTCCCCATGAACTCCCTCACCCCAACCTCTCCCACCCTCCCTGTTCCTTAGGAAAGCAGCACTGCAAACTGGCACTAAGGAGCTGTATGTGGCCATGTCCCCAGCTCCTGTAGGTTCTGTAAAGGCTTCTGCAGAGCCAGAGGAGCCCAGAGTGCCCAGGTGCCCGAGCTGACGTACGTGAGGGTGCGGACGCAGCGCGCGGAGTCACGGATGTCCCACACCTTGATGTAGGACGTGGACACGGTGAACACCAGCCCCGTGTGGCTGCAGTACTTGATGGAAACCACATTGTTGGGGTGGCCCTTGAGAGAGGCGATTTCCTGGCCTGTCACCAGGTTCCACATCTTGCAGCTGCGGTCTGTGGGAGGAAGAACATGCCCAGGAGTGTTAGTGGTGTCTCCTCCAAGGACATATAGGCTTGAGGACAATATTCCCTCTGAGCATGTCCCCCCACCCACAGGGCCAGAGGAAAGGAGCCAGCCAGCCCCAGCACAGGGGCAGAGCTCAACACTGAAAAGAGGAACCATCCCTGTAATGCCAACACTTCCCTTGCATCCTCCCTGCCCATCACCCACCTTTGGAGCCCGTGAAGAGCAGCTCATCGGTGGCATCCAGGCAGAGCACAGGCTTGGTGTGTCCCTCTGCCACTGAGACACACTGCAGAGGGGCTGTCCGGGCATTCTTGGTGCCACCCACCGGGTTGATGATGCCCCTTCACAGGAGAGAGAGAACAGGTACAGTGTGGGGTGGAGGGGCACGGTGCCCACAGCCCCAGGGCATGGGAGAACATGAGCAGCCTCACACCCAGCCCAGAGTGAGACATTGCTCCACCTGAACCTGGCCTGTCTGAGCTGAGGTCTCTGTGGAAACCCCAGAATGTCCCCATGGGCACCCCCTGCCCACCTCTGCCCCTGCCATCACACAGGGCAAGGGGGAGGCTGCCCAGTGACCTCTGCTCTCCCCCTAACCTCTCCTGCCTCACCAGCACAGACCCAGGACAGTGCAGGAGACTCGGCTCCATGGCCTGAGGTCCATTTGTGGACTCTCCAGCCTGAAGCTGAAGCTCTGCTGGGATTATGTTTCAGAGTTCCAGTATCAGCACCCCATCCCCTGAAGGCTGTCACCCTCTGGCTGGTGGCATTTGAAGACAGATCCCAAGGGTGACAAAGGGCAGCACCAGCATCTGCCCCCCACATCCCTGCTGCAATGACTGTTCCTGCCCCCACTGCTGGCTCTGGGCAGGACAGCACCTTCCCCTGCCAAGGAAGACTGCTCTGTGTCCTGGGGGACATCATCTGCCAAACCCTCCACCTCAGACATGCTCAGGGTCAATCCAGAGCCAATCCAACCCCCAGCCTGACCCTCCTGTGTGTGACCTGGTCATCAAGCACAGCCTCAACACTCCCAAGCTGTGCTAATTTCTTCTTACAGGCAGAGAAACTGATGTATGGGGCTAGAGAAGGGCAAGGTTTGCATTAGTTGTGAGGACAAGCACAGGCTCATTAATTGGGTTTGGAAATCACATGCATGTGATGTTCCTCAGCTCTGCACTTACCAAAGCCAAGCCAACAGCCCTCCCCTCACTCCCAGAGCTTCCAGCAGCCTCAAAGCAACACTGAATCCAAGGGGAAATCCCTGCACTGCATCTTCCATGGACTTTGAGTGGCTGCCTGACTACAAACTGCCCAGGGTGACCCTCTCAGAGTGGTCTGGTGTCACCTCCCCTGTCACAGGGGCCTGCAGGAGCTCAGGGCACAGGCAGAGGGGACACCTGGGTGCTGGACAGCTGATCATGGAATCATGGAATGGTTTGGGTTGGAACTTTAGACACCATCTCATTCCATGTCCAGGCCATGCGCAGGGACACCTTCCACTAGACCAGGTGGCTCCAAGCCCCGTCCAACCTGGCCTTGGACACTCCCAGGGATGGGACAGCTGCTGTGGAAAACCTGTGCCAGGGCCTCACCACCCACACAGGGAAGAACTCCTTCCTAACATCTAGCCCAATCTCTCCTCTTTCAGTTTTAAACTGTTCCCCCTTGTCCTGTCACTATTTGCCCATGTACAAAGTTGCTCTCCCTCTTTGTAACAAGCCCCTTTAGGCACTGGAAGGCTGCAACGTTCCTAAAGGATGGGGGAAATGTGGCCCTTGTTCTGGGAAACCTCTGTAGTGGTGGATGTAGGGAGAGAAGCCCAGGAGACCCTTAACTCCAAGGCTGAGCTCTGCCACAATCTGACTTTGTTTCTTTAGGGACAGACTGACCTTTTCCAGCACCAGGGCAGCACAACCAGGCACGAGCTGAACCTGAGATAGCTGCCTGCAAGAAGCTTGCACAAAGCATGTACTGCAAGCACCCTTCCCCACCATCTCACCATCCTGCTGGAGAGCTGGGGAAGGGCTGGCACCATGAGTGGTGGCCTCATGCTGGCAAGAACCCATCAGAGCTGGAGGAGAACATGCTGCCAACCCAAAGCAGCCAGCACCCACCAGTGAGCCCAGCACCACGCACCAAGGGCTAATCCAAGCAGGAACAGCCTGAACTGACAGCACCAGGCACCAGAGGTGGCATGCCAGGGGGACAGACACACAGGCTGGGATGGGGGAGAGCAGCAAGCTGCAGGCAGAGCATGCAGGGACAGGGAGAGCAGGCATCTGACAGAGAGAAGGAGGAGCAGAGGAAGGGATAATAAATAGAATTGTCTATACCTCAGCACCTCCGAGACAGAGGAATCGCTGTCATCAGACCTAGGGGCAGAAAATTAGCAGGATTATGGGAGAGAAAACCCAGACTAGAGAAGGCAGCAGTGGAGTCAGAGGTGGAAGATTGTTATTGCATCCAAGCCAGTGTAGGACAGAGAGAAGGAGAGGAGGGAAGGAGAAGGAGAAGCACACATGGAGAACCAGGGGAGAGCAGAAGAGCAGGAGGGCATGTGAGGAACAGACAGCAGGTCTCCATCAGGGAACACCAGCGCTGCTAGCAAGCCCAGAGCAGCACCTGACCTGCCGCCAGGAGAGGCTGGAGCAGCACTTGTGGCTGGACGCCAGTCCATCAGCTTCCTCTGAGCCCTCATCCCCTCACCCCATGCTGCTCCCTCATCTTGCCAGGGCTCCAAGTCTGTCTGCAGGCAGAGGCCAGCACTGTGAGCTCAGAGGGGCACAGTGGGCAGGAGCACAGCCCTGCCACGGCAGCTGCTCCATCACAGGGAGGAGCAGGGAGTGAAGAGGTGACAGGACACTGGCTGGAGCCAATCCAAGCCCTGGTGTTGCTATACACCCCCACAGGACTCAGTACAGGCCATGTGCTATCCTGGTCTGGGTTCCCCTTGCTCAGACACCCTCACCCCAGCAGGACTCACTTGTCCAAGGCAGATCCCTGGCTCTGGGTGCTCGTGAGACGGGAGAAGACGTTGCGGTCGTTGCGTGGACGGGTGGGTGGGGAGGAGGGTGGTGTGAAGCCAATGTCTGCAGGCCTGAGCCAAAGGATCAGAGGGACACATGACTTGGAACTGCTCACCTGGCACCTGACAGGGCCCAGAAAAAATCCTGGGCCACACAGCCCCCCTGCCCATGTCAGTGTAAGTCCCGAGCTCACCTGGCAGGCTGCCCACGGTCGTAGGATTTCCGCCGGGTCAGGGGCGAGGTGTCCGAGCCCCGGGACTGCCTGGGACTGCAGCAAGTGAACAAAGCACAGTGGGTGCCTGCCCTGCCCAGGGTCCCTCCACAATCAACACCTCTGTCCTCCTCCCCAGAAGAGCAAACAAGAGACCGGGCTGGAGTCACAATCTCGAGGCAGAGTGCAGAGGCTTTTGGCAGCCCAAGACACCTCCAAAAAGGCTGATAACCCAGAGCAGGGAGTTGGGGACCCTTGTGGTTGTTCTCCCTGCTTCTGAAGTATCCCCTGTCCATCTCCCCCCTTCCTTCCCTGCTCCTGAGCTATCCTCCTCTCCATCTGCAAAGGACACCAACACACTCTCCAAGCCCCACTGTGGAAATTCCCCACAGCATGCTATACCCAAGCATGGAGAGATGCAGGATTGGGCTCCCCTACCCCTCTGCACCTCCCCAGGCCAGGCACAGCTCCCCAGGCCATGCCCCTGAGCCTCCCAGGCACTGGTGGCCCATGCTCACAAGGTGCTGCCCCGGGTGGGCAAGCTGATGGTCCGTGACACCTTCTCCTTGTAATAGGGGTCCCGGATGGAGAAGCCGATCCCGTCCTCCTTGATCTCCATGAGGGACGCCAAGGACTTGGTGATGTTCTTGGTGGACACGTCCAGCGTGGGTCCCAGACACTCAGCTGACACTGCCTTCATCTGCCCCGAAAGCTTGGGCTCTCCCTAGAGCAGGGCAGAGGGCTCAGGATGGGCACATGGGGACAGTGGGAGCAGCCAGCAATGGGGGCTGGAAGAGTTTGTGCTCTCTGGCCACAAACCAGCTCCCCACATCCCACTGGGATGCCCATCAGCCAGCTCTCCAGCAAACATGGCCGCCTGTACAGAACAGGGGCTGCTTTCCTCCATGGGGACATCCTCACTGCCACTCAGATTTGGGAGGTATTGCCTGGTGTGGTGAGTGCTTCCCAAGTCTCCTGTGCCACTCAGATTTGGGAGGTATTGCCTGGTGGGTGCTTCCCAAGTCTCTGGTGCTCCAGGACAGGACCACTGCACCAGGAGACCTTGGTTCTGCCCATCCATAAATCAGCCACACTGCCTTATGCCAAGCCTGGCTTGCCAAGGTTCAGGCTGCAGAGCAGAGGCCTGAAGCATCACTGAACATCCCTCCATCCCTCCTCCCTGACCAGGACACACAAAAAGGCCAACTAACCTTGAACTTAAAGTCATCCTGGCTTGCTGAGCCCTTCATGGTGAAAGACTGGGAGATGCTGCAAGGAGAAAGGAACAAAGATGGATCTTCAGTGCCAAACTCTCTTCAGAAAGCTGGTGCCACTGCTCCACCAGACTCCTTGGGTCACCCTCTGCCCCCAGCACCCTTTCTCCAAGGAATGACCAAGCCTTCACTCCTTGCTTGTGTCCAAGAGACATCCTGCTCCCCCCACCAAGGGCTGGGCACCACAGAAAAGCTCAGGTGGGGCTCTGTTCATCCATGCCCCTCTACAAGGTCCATGAATGGCATCAGGCAGTGCCAGGCTGGGTGCTCACCTCCCATCTGAGGCCAGGCTGAACTCTGAAACTTCCTCATCTGTGCTGGTGTAGCCATTCTCTGTGAGAGGGAGACAGTGCATCAGCAGAGGGGACCCAGAGGGGACACCACTGTCACCAGCCCCTCCTCCAAACCCTGAAGCAGAGGGGGCAGCCCAGGAGGGCACGAAGGATAACCCTGTCCCTGTTATCAATGGCCAGGAGGAAGGTGTAGGGGGTGACTCAGTCCTTGTCCCAGTTATCCACGGCCAGAATGGTGTGTGGGGCGACCCTGTCCCTGTGATCCATGGCCAGGAGGGCATGAGGGATAACCCTGTCCTTGTCCTTGTTGTCCATGGCCAGGGCACACAATCCCACCCAACATGGCCTTTGGGCAGGGTCCCAGCCACCTCCAGGTGCTTCCTGCAGGCCCAGTCCAGGTGGGCACCCAGCCCACAGGCAGCACTCCTGGCCTGAAGCTGCCCCTGCCTCAGGCCCCACCTTGCTGGACATTGTGGATCAGTGCCTGCAGCTCAGGGTGGGACTCAGCCTTCTCCCTCAGGGCATCCAGCAGGGCGTGGTTCTGTGAGGAGTTGGCCACGTCGTTCTGCCGCAGGCGCCCCTCCAGCAGCCGGATCTGCGCCTCCTTCTGGGCCACCTGCAGCCCCTGCACAGGCAATGCTGGCACTCAGCAAGGTCCTGGCACCAGGTCCCCACCCTGGCAGCCAGGAAGAAGCCCTGTCACACATGCACAGCCCTGCCAGCCCCACACCTTGTCGATGGAGGCTTTCAGGAAGTTGTCCAGCAGCAGCCGGGCTTCGGCCAGGGAGCAGGAGCTGATCACCACCGAGGTGTCCGTGGAGTCCAGCTCCTCCTGAAACACACAGGGACAAAGACTGGATCAGCAGGGCAGCTTTGCTGCTGGATGGGCCTCCATGGCAAGCACAGCACTTCCATCACCCTGCAAGCACTGCCCAGTCCAACCCTCACCCTCCCCAGTCTGCCCAGTGGCTCCTGGGTGTCGCAGACATCTTTTTATGAAAATCCTTTTCTTGGGATTTTTTCTTCCTGAGAAGCTGAGAGGCTTCAGGAACAAAACGTAAACATTGATTATCTGCTGCTGTGGAATGCAACAGGTGGATCTGTGATTGGTCTCATGTGGTTGTTTCTAATTAATGGCCAATCACAGCAGAGCTGGCTTGGACAGAGAGTCTGAGCTGCCTTTGTTATCATTCTTTCTTTTTCTATTCTTATCTAGGCCTTCTGAGATGAAACTTTTCCTTCTATTAGTTTTAGTATAGTTTTAATGTAATATATATCATAAAATAATAAATCAAGCCTTCTGTAACATGGAGTCAGATCTACGTCTCTTCCTTCATCCTAAGACCCCTGTGAACACGATCACAACTGGGCAGATCCAGCCACGGGACTGTCCAGTGCTGAAGGGCTTATGCACTGCTACAGAAATTCAGGCTCCAGCACAAAACTAGACCATGAACAGACACCGGGCTCACCCAAATCCACAACCCAAAGCCTGGTGTGAATTAACAGCAGCCCTACTTCCCTGCTAATCAAGGTGACAGTTGGGGACAAGCCAGGGACAGCACACAGCCTCCATTTCAGGCTGCAGGCATTGAGGGGAGTTGGGAGCTGCCCAGTGGCATGCCCAGTATCACAACTGGACACAAAACCTAGATGGTTTCTGCTAGGGAAAAGCCAATCCTCCTGGGATGTTTCCACTGCCTGAAGCAACAACCATGGGTACAAGTGACCACCAGCCCCATGGGCAAATGGGGGCTGCAGCCTCTCTACAATTCCAGGGCAGCAGGACACCAGCATGTCCATGGACATGCAAGGACCTGCCAGAACTCCTCTCTGTAATTAATCACCTAATGAGAAGTGGCTGTGTGGGTGAAGCCTCACCAAGAGTGACAGCTCAGCGGACTCTGGGTCCTCTGAGCAGAGCCCAGCCCCAGCTGGCTGTGCCCAAGGATGCTCTTTGCACAGAGGGATGCTCTCATTTTCTCCCTGCCAGCCAGACCCAGTCCTTCTGCCCACCTTGGTCTCCTCAATCTGCATGATGGTGGCCTGGCAGTCTGAAATGCTGTCGTTGATGTAGTCAATGTTGGCCCCCAGCACCTCAATCTCCTCGTTCAGCTCTTGCAGACCCTTCTGCTCCTTGGGGCTCTCTGCCTGCAGCTTTGCCCGCTTGCTCAGTAACGCCTCCTGCAGCAGCGACAGCTCCTCACGTTTCTGGGGAAAAGGGAAGGGAATTAGCACTGTCCACCTCCCTGTCCTGCAGCCACCAGCCAGCCCCCTCTGTGTCCCCAGTGCCACAGCCACCTTGATGAGTCTCTCCATGTCTGCCTCGAGGTTGACAATGGTCATTCTCTGCATGACAATGTCGAAGATGCGCCGCTCCAGCGACTGCCACTTGAGGCGGGCAGCTTTGCTGAAGGTCTGGCTGGACCCCTTCTTGGGGAACTTCTTCCTACAGCCAGAGGGAAGAAGAGGCATTTGGGCAGATGGCCACACCGTGCTGGAGAGCCAGGCTTGCCCTAGGATCTGGGATCTGGCTGGCCAGAAACAGAGGATGCATCTGTGCTGTTTTTGCATTGCCCAACTGTAGGAATGTGCTCTCTGTTGATGGAGTGACAAAACTATCCTTTGTCTCCTTAAAAAGGAAAAAAGCCCAGAAGTTTCCTTCTTTGATTAGGTAAAAAGACACCTCATAGGACTTGGGGGACTTCACCTCAAACTTAAGGATAGCCAATTGGACAGGAGCTAAAAAGTCCTGCCTAAGCAATTTACTAAAAAAGAAAAGACAAAGAAACTAATGGCTTTTGTGGGGTGTTTTACCAGGAGCAAGAACCTCTTGCACCTGGCTTGGTTCTTTTCTGCAAAAAGTTTTGTCATTTTGCCTTTATTAAAACTTTTGTTTCCAACACTATCACAGAAGCCATCCTGCTGATTTTACGTCTTCTAAGGTAGCTGAGCTATCTTGGGTGTGATACAGATCTACGAGAGCTCATGAGACCTGGCTTGAGAAAACCACATATCACCCAACTTTTCCTCTTAGCAAAGCGGGACAAGAGATGAGTCCAGCAGGGTTTGTGCCACAACATTTAATCCTCATTGAGGGCCAGCTTTTACCTCAAGCCCAGGTGACAATCACACTCCGCCAGCATAGCTTATCACAGGATCAGTGATTTAGTATGGCTCAAGTGGACACTAAGCAGCCACCCTGCAATTTCCACCACCCACCAAAAGCCAGGCATGGGATCCCTGCGATGTCTCACCCCCGACCACCCAATCCCTGCCCTGACCTGGCAGGCCGAGCCCCGTTAATGGAGGCCGAGGAGTCTCCCAGGAAGTTGTTGATTTTCCTGTTCCACTGGCGCACGATGCTGGAGACGGAGCGAGCGCCGCT